TCCAGCACTACAACAATGACGAGAAGGACTTCAACAGCGCCATGGGTGTTCTTCTACACGGTGATGCTGCCTTCGCCGGTCAGGGTGTCGTCTACGAGACCATGGGCTTCCACTCTCTTCCCGCCTACTCGACCGGTGGTACCATCCACATCATCGTGAACAACCAGATTGGTTTCACTACCGACCCCCGTTACTCGCGTTCTACCCCTTACTGCTCGGATATCGCCAAGTCCATTGACGCCCCCGTGTTCCACGTCAACGCTGATGATGTTGAGGCCGTGAACTACGTTTGCCAGGTTGCTGCCGACTGGCGTGCCGAGTTCAAGCGTGATGTTGTCATTGACATTGTCTGCTACCGTAAGCAGGGCCACAACGAAACTGATCAGCCCTCTTTCACTCAGCCCTTGATGTACAAGCGCATCGCCGAGCAGAAGGCCCAGCTTGACAAGTATGTCGAGAAGCTGATTGCCGAGGGCACCTTCACCAAGGAGGACATTGACGAACACAAGAAGTGGGTTTGGGGCATGCTCAACGACAGCTTCGACCGCAGCAAGGATTACCAGCCCACCGGCAAGGAATGGTTGACCTCTGCCTGGAACGGCTTCAAGACCCCGAAGGAGCTGGCCACCGAGGTTCTGCCTCATCTACCTACCGCTGTTGATACTTCTTTGTTGAGCCACATTGCCGACAAGATCAGCGGCGCCCCTGAGGGCTTCACCGTTCACCGCAACCTGAAGCGTATTTTGGCCAACCGCAAGAAGGCCGTCGATGAGGGTAAGAACATTGACTGGGCCACCGCGGAGGCCCTTGCATTTGGTTCTCTGGTCAAGGAGGGGTACCATGTCCGTGTCTCCGGTCAGGACGTTGAGCGTGGTACTTTCTCCCAGCGTCACGCCGTCCTGCACGATCAGGAGAACGAGGCTACCTACACCCCCTTGAAGCACATTGGTGAGGACCAGGGCAGCTTCGTCATCTCCAACTCTTCTCTCAGCGAATTCGGAGCGTAAGTTGACTTCCAGTGACCGATTTACCTTTGCTCGCTCAAGCTAATGTTTCTCTTAAGCCTTGGTTTCGAATACGGCTACTCTTTAACTTCGCCTAACGCCCTGGTCATGTGGGAGGCCCAGTTCGGTGACTTCGCCAATAACGCTCAGTGCATTATCGACCAGTTTATTGCTTCTGGAGAGTCCAAGTGGCTGCAGCGCTCCGGCCTCGTTGTCTCCCTCCCTCACGGTTATGATGGCCAGGGTCCTGAACACTCTTCGGGTAGAATGGAGCGTTGGTTGCAGCTTTGCAACGAGGAACCTCGCCAGTTCCCCACTCAGGACAAGCTGGACCGTCAGCACCAGGACTGCAATATGCAGATTGCCTACATGACCTCTCCTGCCAACCTTTTCCACATCTTGCGTCGCCAAATCCACCGCCAGTTCCGCAAGCGTAAGTTTTGATTCTCTCCCTCTATGAATGACTTCTCATTAACTCGCTTGCTCTAGCCCTCGTGATCTTCTTCTCCAAGTCCCTCCTCCGTCATCCTGTTGCTCGCTCCGATATTGAGGAATTCACTGGTGACTCACACTTCCGGTGGATCATCCCTGACCCGGCCCACGGTACCGCCATTGACGAACCCGAGAAGATCGAGCGCGTCATTCTGTGCAGTGGCCAGGTCTATGCCACCTTGGTCAAGCACCGCGAGGCCAATGGTATCCGCAACACTGCCATCACCCGTGTTGAGCAGCTGCACCCCTTCCCCTGGGCTCAGCTGAAGGAGAACCTGGACAGCTACCCCAATGCCAAGGACATTGTCTGGGCTCAGGAAGAACCCCTGAACGCCGGTGCTTGGAGCTACACTCAACCTCGCATTGAGACCCTGCTTAATGAGACTCAGCACCACAACCGTCGCCACGTCCTCTACGCTGGTCGGGCCCCAAGCGCCTCCGTCGCGACTGGTCTCAAGTCCGTCCACGCCAAGGAGGAACAGGACTTCCTTGAGGAAGCATTCACTGTCCACCAGGATCGTCTGAAGGGCGAGTGATCGGGGACGTCTGTAGCCACTGTTGGATTATCATCTTAGGTGCTTTGATTTGTAGGAGCTAGCGTCTATTCATTTCTGTCTCCTTTGTATGAATTCATTCTGTTGTCAGCATCTACTGCGGCTTTTATCCTAAGTCATGCTGTCTTGTCTTTGATATCTCATTTTGAATGTTCCGGGCACCCCTGTTACGGGTTGGCATTGACTTGTCTATTCCTAGAACATGCCGGAGCATGTGTTTGTAAACTAAGAAGGCCTGATTTACTAGATATGCAGTATTTTCTTGTTCGTGAACATGTCCTGTCCTAGAGAGGTTCTTCTGTTTCTGAATTGATGCATAACGCTGATGACGTCAATGTAACCAATTGGGTAAATTAAGCAAGCAGTTTATTATGCCTGAAATACAAGGCACCAATCACCTGATGCGGGCCGAAAGGGGAAAGTCTTGCTTCTCCGCACTGCAGAACTCCCGTCTCCTCTCGCCCCATTATCTGACAGACGGTCTCATCAACACCTTCGTCCATGTTGTTGGGTTCAAGAAGTATCCCAAACCTTTGTTTGTACTATTTTTTTCTCACCTGATTGAGCGGTTTCTGATCTGCTGCGTTTGAACTTCCTCCTCAACCATGGCATCCGTCGTTTCTTCGTCGGCCGTCAACGCTCAGGGTCAAAATGCTCGCCAGTCAGCGCGCCAGACACGTACGAATCCATCCAGAACGTCCAAGACGCTGGGACGGTCGTCATTTGCCTACGGTCACGGCTCAATGATTGAAGCGCCCCCTACGCCTCCTGCGCCTCACGGATTCTATCCTGCCCTCACTCATTTCACCGACGCCATTACCGCTCTGCCGCGAGAATTTCGCCGTCACAATTCGTTGCTGAAGGAAGTGGATGCGAAGGCTTGGGCGGTTGAGGATAACCTTCTCCAGTTGTTGAAGGTTTCTTCGGAGTCGCAACCTGTTCCCTCTCYGTTGAATCCAGCGCCTATTGTTGATGGGGTAGTTCGGGATGATATTGTGCCAGCGGTAGGTGGTGATATCTACAACAATTAACGTGCTTGGCTAACCTGTTTGCTTTATGATAGGATCCCTCGCAACCTCCTGAATCGCAAGACAGCAAAAACCGTCGTCTTCTCTTCGATCGCGTGCGGCGTACCCTAGTGGATCTGATGATGACCGCGGACGAAAAGAACCATGTCATTTCCAATGCCAACGACGAACTAGACCGGCAGCTTCTGCGCATCGACGGCGTATTTCCATTCATTGCAGGGGAGATCAGTGAGGAGGCGCGCCTGGGCAGTCTTACACATTGGGCCTACTCGAACAGGAACGCCGCGAAAACTACTACGAATGAGCGTCCGCGCCGGGAAGTCACATCTAACAAACAAGACCTGAACCATGCGCTCGAGACCGAAGCTGGATCCCGTAGCGATGCGAGGCGGGATGCCGCTCGCAAACAGCGGCGCACGCATGCCGATTCAGACTTTGACGATGCTCGTGCCTCTGGTTCGCGGAAGGGGCAGGTTAGCAAGCCTCGTAGCGGCGCAGGTGCGGCTACTGGGGACCTGTCTGCAATCGGGCATGGTACACAAATTTCGGGTGCCGCGGGGGCCCCGGGTGCGACGAAACGCCGCAAGGTTGAACGACCTCCAGCGGCCGATACTGGCGCAGCGATGGAAAGATCCGCCAGCGGTGTTGGGAATGTTTCGGGCCGTGGAGCATCGAAGGACGCGACAGCTTCAGATGCCACCAAGAAGAGATCTCGTGCTCCCAACACGAATGCAGCCGCTCGCAAGAGGTGAGCCATTTTTTGGTATATGCAATTCTAACCTCGTGCCTTTGCTAACCAAATTGGTAGAAATAACACTGGAACCTCTGCGGCAAACTCGCCTGTTCTGGCACCTGCTCCTCTGGCGGGGGTATCGAATACCGTGCGTAGCGCAGCCAGTCCCGGACCTGGAGCAGTCGCTCGGCCCCAGTCTTCTCGTGCCCAGCAGAGCTCTGGACAGTCGACAAATGGTCGCCAGCGGCCATCCTCCTCGGCGTCCAATCGCCTAGCAAGCAATAGTATGTCACCTGTATCTTTGGTCTTTCTTTTGACTAACCTTGTTTTCGATTCAGGCAAAGTCGCCGAGCCCAAGACATTGCCCAAAGAAACTCCCAAAGCGGACATGGTTGCAGCTGCACTTAATTCAGAGTTGCAACGCCAAGCCGAGGAAGAGAACCCCGCCGCAGCTGCAGCTAAGGCTGTGGGACCCGTCAGCATGAAACGCGAGGATACAGAAATTCGCCCTACGGAGTCGGTCGAACCTCGGGAAACGCCAGTACCTCAAGTTTCGAACGCAGCTCCGAAGGGCCGGTCGTCGAAGACGTCCACGCCTGTGCTCTCGACGTTCTCAGAACCCAACTCCCAGCGCACTCGACCTACTCGCAACACGGAACCCGCGCCTGCGAAACGATCACATAAGAAGAATGGCAGTGTGGCGGTAACCCAGCAGCGAGCGGTGTCCGAGGAGGAAGACTCGCTGCATGAAGGGGACGACGAGGACGAAGATGGCGAACCGCGGTACTGTTACTGCAACGAGATCAGCTTCGGTGAGATGGTTGCTTGTGACAACGATGCGTGCCCGCGGGAATGGTTCCATCTGTCGTGTGTTGGGTTGACCAAACCGCCAGGGAAGAATGGTAAGTTCACCATTGCCCAGATTGATTGTAACTTGCTGATCGGATACAGTCAAATGGTACTGCAATGAATGCAAAGAGAATATGCGGAGAAGTCGAAACGGGCGGTAACCAGTCGCAGTATGAGGGTCGACTATGCTCAGGTACAGTTTTGTTGATTGGAATGGTCTCTTGATTTGGCGTAGGAGTAGGGCACGTTATGGACATAGCGTAATGACTTGATTTTCTACGGCGGATCTTTGAAAAGGTCATTGTCTTCATAGGATCCAGTGTTCTCTCCAGCGTAAGAATTACAGCGCCCTCAATCTATCCATAAACCCTCCCTCCCGCCTTCGCTGTCTCTGCCCAGATGCCTCACTCCCCAGCCCGGCGTTCCCACTCGCCGCCGCAGCAGCCACAGCCTCACCCTCCAACCTCCTCCTCAAATCCTCATACCGCTCTCCCGCTTCTCCCCCCTGTCCTCCCCGTCTCCCCACCTCCTTCTCCCCAACCACCCAAGCCGGAACCCTCCACCCAGCCGCAGGCAACGGCAACGCCTCCGCCCGCCACGCAAGCCCAACAAACCACCCCACCGCCGCGGGGAGAATCATCCCAGGAAACTGCGACAGAGCCAGCTGCGCCGCAACCAGGTACGTAGTTGACTTGTCAGAGAGATGGAGCGTGAGGTATTTCCCTTGCTGACGTCCTTCTCCTCTATCATCTGTATTCGAGGCCGTAGTCGTAGACGTAGACGTGCTTATCCTATACCGAAACGTATGCGGGATCCCAGCATGATACTGCGCCAGCAGGGCGAAGAGCGTGGCCGTCGGTCCGCAGGGGAGATAGTTCAGTTTGTAGAGGGTGAGCGGGCGGAGGAGGATAAGGAGCAGCGGTGGGAGGAGAGAGGTATATGGTAGCGTGGAGAAGATGAATGTCTGTCTCATCAGCATCAGTATCAGCATCAGTATCACTAGAAACAAAAGGAGGGGGGAGGGGGTGGCTAGAGGAAAGGCGTACAGCGAACTTGCGCTTCCCCCATGCGCGCTCGACCACGCGGAGATGGTAGGCGAGCATTGCGGCGAAGAGGGCCTCGGTGGAATTGGCGAAGCCGGCGAGTTGCCATGTTGCGAGGCGCCAGAATTGGGCGTAGGGCCAGAGATGCGGGGAGACGCGGATGCTGGCGAGGTGTTTGATGTCGAGGATGGAGAGGGCGATGGAGGAGGCGATGGTGTAGATGAGGAGGAGTTTGGTGATTGGGGCGTTGGTTAGGCCGGAGGTTAGCATTTTGTTTGGTGTTTTTCTATTTTCACTTTTGTCCTTTATTGCAAGGGAGCAGACCGTGTGGTCTGAGGGTGCGGAGTGTGCTCTGCTGGTGTTGGGTGGTGTTGATGATGATCGTGAGGGGAGATGATGACGGTTGGACACGTCGCGCCAACTACGGGCCGAAAGCCGAGTCAGTCGGCATGCCGATCAACTGAACTACATATACCGTACTCGTCTACAGTCACGCTATACTGGATGAAGATAAAAGATCATATACATTATCTATTTTCCAGCGATTGCAATCGCTGCATTTCTTCAGTGTATGCCGTATTGTACTTGGCCAAAGCAGTCTCCAATGCCCGGATCGTGGGACCCAGCAACTGCTTGACGGCCTTCTCTCCACCTGTAACTCCCGCAAGATTGAGGCGGATCTTCCTACCCGTAGCCTCTAGTACCTCGCGTGCATGCTGCTTGAGTCGGTTTACTTCCACCTGGCGTTCCGCCTCGGCGTCGTTTGCGACAGACTGGATGCGTTCCATCGCCCGGTTCAGCGATTCCACAAGCGATGCTACCTCGGCCGCACGGTCCGGATTTCCGGACAGAAAAGCCTGCCAGAATTGATGGAGGAACTCCGTGCTCGTCGCATGGGTCAGGGTTAGCCTGTCATAGAGATTGGTCGACAATCCGTACGTCCCCCCGGTGGATGACGCCTCCGTCTGGTTGCGCCGGTCACGGATGGCGTCAAGGATCTGCTTCGATGCGCGCTGCAAGTTGGCCTGCGATCCGACCCGCTGATCATGTTTCTGCTCGTCCTCATCTTCGAGTTCCTCCGGTTCCACAAGCTTCCCCAGTGGCGCTGTCCCATCGGTCGGCAGGTCCCGGTCGATCTGGCCGCGCAGGTCACGGATGATCTGGTCGGGATCCTGCTTGGCAAACAGCCGGCTCTGCTCATCTTCGGAGACTTTGGCCTGCGAGAAAAACCGACTCTGATCCCGGATATTCAATAGGATCCGGTTCTGTTCTTCGTCCCCGCGCAAGTCTCGCAACTGCAGTTCATTGTACGTCTCCTCGTCAATACCGACGGGCGCCGACGGGTCGCGATCCACCGGCGCCACATTCGCCATAATCTTCTCGCTCAGCGTATTGAGCGTCCGAATGATGGGCACCTTGTCCACCCCAGACGGCCGCATGTCCAGATCCGGCCGATTCCCGCGCCTCTGGCTGTTATTGACCTCGTTTCCCGCCAGATTCAAAAAGTGCGGTACGTGCGCCTCCCGCTCGAGATTCGCCTGCTCGTCCTCGCGCAGATATTTGTCGAGAATGGCATCGGTGGCATCGTTCTCGGAGATGCGCTCGCCGCGCAGTTTCTTGAACAGTCGACTCTGAAAGAATCGCGACCAGAACTGCTGCTCGCTCAGCTTCGGCACATTCTCGTCATATACCCTCTTCACAAGCGGGTGCTGGCTGAAAATGAGCTGAATCTGCTCCTTGCTGATATTGAGCTTGGTCACGTTGTCCTCGACGCGCGGCTTCAGCGACGACAGCACATTGTACGAGCCGCGGGTCTGCGACCGCTCGATCGCATGCGCCCGCAGCAGGTGCAGCCGCGTCGACCAGAACTGCGACATGAATTGCGAGGCAGACAGGGTCTCTGGTTTGGTGTGCAGCGATTCCATGAACATGCGCTGTAGGTTCGCATCGGCCTTGAGCAGTGACTGCTGCAGCTCCACGTCCGTCTTGAGCCGCTGGTCGTCATCCCAGGGTTTTGAGGCCCGCCCGGCCGAGGACACTGCGCTCGCGATCGCCATGGCGGCTGACATCCCTTCCCCGCCGGCCGGAGTACCTGTCCGACCCGGTGTCGGAGTCGGGGTCGCGCTCGCGGCGGTTTTGGCGGCCTGGATGGCGGCGCTAAGTGCATCTTTGATGGCGTTCGCTTCCGGACGGGCGTTGGCTCCGGCCGTGAACGAGAAGACGTATTGATCCGGGGAATCAGTCGGCGTGTTGGGAGGGAGAACGAAGATCTTGAGCATCACTTTGGGGTTACTAGCCGGGGTTTGCTGTAGATCTGCCTTGGTCAATAACCATATATAAAGAGAGAGAAACCAACCGAGTGGTCATCTCACATACTAGTGATCTGGGAAACTGGAATCGTAATCATTCCGGTAGCGCCGCCAGCTGCAGGAATCCACGAGATGGACTGGCTGTCCTGAGACATGGTCAGGGTGCCATCTTTCTTCTTGTATGCCGCCGATCCGCTCGGAGGTGCCATCGTCCTGGAACTCGACAGCTTCCACTGTCCTGAGCGGCGTATCGGGATGCGCCCATCGGGAGAGGAGAAAAAAGTCCTTCCAAGGGCGAGGCCGGCGAAGAGGAAGGTCAGCGGCCTTCTGTGAAGATTCAGTTGGTTGAAAGTGGGATGATTTCGAGGTCGCGTAAAATTGGGCTCCGCAGCTCTCGTGGAAGTCTGTAAAGGATCACGTGACATCTGCCGGTCTGCACGTCAGAGACCCGATCCAGAAAAATCCACGGCCCAAGTTGGAACAAGACGAAGGAGACTACGAAACTGAGCTACAGACAGCATTTAAGCATTCTTGCTAGCTTTGAACTGAGATGAGATTTAGCTATAAGATCAAACCGAAATGTACAGAGAGCAGAGCAATGACGCCATTTTCATGAAATTCCCAAACGTCAAAGGAGACTAACAGGAACTCTTTACACCCAGAATTGCCCTGAGAATAACATGCAGCTAGGATTGACCTCAAGGTTATAATGGAAACATGCCATGGAGCGAGGATTGATCAACAACCTTAAGAGACTAGCAACCATCCCACAGAAGCACAACCGTAACGCTATGAGAATCACTCCCGCTATGCAGAACAGAAGATGCTGGAGAATTCATGGCAAAGGGAAGCAAAGCAGATTATCAAACAGAGTAACCAGTGACCTCCCGCACTTTTGTCGCTCACGCTTGCAATTTGGTATCATAAATGAGTCCGCCCATTTTTCATCAAAGGACAGCAAAAGAAAATGAAGCATAGCAAGGGTATTTAAACAATCAAAAGTCGTAAGCAACAGTCAGGAAAAAACACTCTTCATCACCAGGACTTATTTCTTGAACATGTAATGGCCATAGATGCCTCCAACGTCTCCTACCACAACCGGGATCTTCCTCATCCCCCACCAACGGGCGCCCATTTTCCAGGGACGAGAACCGTCGTCGGGGACTTGGTTTGGCATAGATGCTGGGTCACGTACGTACCAGCCGCGTCTGCCGAGCTCACGGACGGTCCAGCCGCTGGAGGCACGGTTGTTCTTGATTCTCTCCCTCAGGGGAGCAATGATCTTGTCACTGAATTCGATGACTTGCAGAGGATAACTCTGCTGCGAAAGGAGCAAGCAAGTATTGGTGTTGAAGATGGTGCCAATCGACAACTGCGCGACTTTGTTGAGATCCAGGTAGCACAACGACGATGGCACCCACGGTTCCTTCGCCTCGGTCGAGCCCGCATTGTCCGACACTGGAGGCGGAGCGAAGAACATATTGAGATCTTTGCAGGTCAAATCCGCCGAGCTCAAGCCGAGTTCCTCGAGATGCTTGGTTAAAGGCACCAGGGCAGGTGCATGAGCAGAGGTGATCTTGGCACCTCCCAGGTTCAGCGAGCGGAGGGTTTTGGGCAACCGAGGAAGAAGAGCAGAGACATCCTCCTCCTCGAGAATCCGGTAGCGAGTGGGATCGGTCAGGAGGTTGAGGTACACAAGCGAATTGCACACTGCGGGATGCGTGGTCAAAAACTCGACCACTCTCGAACCCTTCAACCGAGTGCACCGCGAAAGGCTGAGATGAGTAATCTGTGCGGTCTCCGGGATGGAGAAGAGCGCCGACTCGCTGATCTGTGTGTGTGTGACATCGAGATGGGTCAGATTGATCAGACGAGGGAGAAGAACCTCAAAGGTAGATGGAGGCAGACTGCTGCACTCGTGTAGGGACACCCGCTTGAGATTCGGTAGGCTCAGAGGCAGACCGGGTCCTGTGGTCAAGGCTTCTTGGAAAACCGCCGAGAATGACTGGGTAGCGCAACCGCAAAAGTCAACACCATGCAGGTTGGGCAGGCCGGTGAATATCTTCCGCACGATTTCCACGCTAATATCACCTTCCACATGCTCCTGCAGCAGGCATTCCTTAAGGTTTGGCAGAAGATCCAAACATTTCAGCAACGTCGTGGAGGTGAGGTTCTGGATCTCTGCATTCATCTGCTTGGTGCGTCCGAGTCCTACGGAGGTGAAATGGGAAAAGTCCAGACGACGCACGAGCGTCCCGAGCGCGGGATACTGCGACATGTGGTTGAGAGCCTTGGAGAAGATGATGGAATGCGGAAAGGTCATGTTTCTGTACAACACGCCGAGTGTGGCAGCGTGCAACGTACGCGAGGTCAGGAGGCACGACACCAGGTCGACATTCCGTGGCGTGTACCCATTAGGAGGGATGTCCAACGCCAGGTTGGAAATGATTTGATCTGCAGTGACATTGTCAGTGGACGAGCTGATATCCGACATTCAGACGGGAAACTAACCGAGAACTTCCGGGGGCAGTTTCTCTAGCCGCGAGGAGCCTGGAGGGGGTTTCTGAGACTTGGATTGCACCGTCTTGGTGGGAGGATTATTCACCACCGCATTGTTCTCCCACGCCCAACCCCGAGTGTGCATAGCCCCCAACGCGCGAAGATCGCCATAGCTCCGGCTGAGACTCTTTCCTCCGAGTCGAATCTGCTTCCAGCCAAGGAAACCACCGCAAGGACAACAGAAATCAGGCGTGTGTTGCATATCAATCGCTAACGGCGATGTCTGTTTGGTCTGCTCTGTGGGAGACTGAGTGATGTGTGTATCAACGAATGATTGAGCAATGCCTGTATGGAGAGGATCAATCAGCATTAGAGACCTTGCTGATACATGTGCAAGTGCTTACCGTCGACGTCCTCCTTGATCGAACCAAACGACGGACGACGGCGACTGCTGGATCTGGA